GCAGCAGCAGCAGCAGCAGCAGCTGCTGCTGCTGCTGCTGCTGCACCGCGGCAGCAGCAAAAGGCGACGCCGCTGCCGAGGGCTGCACGCAGAGCTGCTGACTCTGTGCTGCCGTCAGCAGCAGCAGCAGGCTTTGCTGCTGCAGCACGTCTTGAGGGAGAAGCTGCTGCTAGGGAGAGACAGGAGCCGCAGCAGCAAGCTGCTGCTGCTGCTGCTACGCTGCTGCGGCGCCGGGCAGCAGCACCAGCACTTCGTTCATTGCCCTCCAGGACCCCTGCAGCAGCAGCAGCAGCAGCAACAGCAGCAGCAGCAGGAACAGCAGCAGCAGCAGGAACAGCAGCAAGAAGAGGCAGGGCTGCTTCAGTTTCTCCTCTCTCCGCGGCCTCTCGCAGGCCGGCTGGTGCTGCTGCTGCTGCTGCTGCTGCTGCTGCTGCCGGCGCTGCCCCCACGGCGCACTCAAGAGCAGCAGCAGCAGCAAGAGATGAAGCTTCAGCTGCGCAAGCCCCTGGCCCAGGGAGAAGGCCTGCACCAGTTGCTGCTGCTGCTGCTGCTGCTGCTGCAGCTGCTGCTGGCAGCACGAAGAGCCCCCGGCAGCTGCTGCCGGAATCCCAGCAACAGGAGCAGCAGCAGCAGCAGCAGCAGCAGCAGCAGCAAAATCGGTGGCGAGCAGCGACTCTCCGCAGCCGCAGTGTACAGACACCGAAGGGAAATGGCGCTGGCCAAGTGGGACGCGCAGCAGCAGCAGCAGCAGCAGCAGCTGCTGCTGCTGCAGCAGCAACTGAAGCAGCAAGAAGACCTGCAGCAGCAGGCAGAATTTGAGCTGTCAAATTTAACTTTAATAATATGTCAAAACGAAGCCCAGGTGTATAGACACCTGAGAGCTTCGGAGCAGCAGCAGCAGCTCTCGCTGCTGCTGCTGCAGGGATTATATGCCCAGGCTTCCAGTAGTCTGCTGCTGCAGCAGCAACAGCTGCTGCTGCAGCTGCTGCTGCTGCAGCGCGACCTGTTGTCCGCAAATACTGCTTTCGCAGCTGCTGCTGCTGCTGCCGCAGCAGCTTTTGCATCGGCAGCACCTTCTGCAGCCTCAAGAGCTTCCGCAGCAGCAGCAGCAGCAGCAGCTTCTGCAGCAGCAGCAGCAGCAGCAGCAGCAGCAGCAAAAGACTTGCTTCGGATTTGCCTGGTGGGTCCACAGCTACTCAGGATATTTAAGGGAAATTAAAAATAAAAAGATTTTTATTATTTGCTTCCAGAGTTGGCGGCCTGCGGGTCTGGGGCTTTCGAATAGAGGCGCGGCGGCAGCTGCTGCTGCTGCTGCTGCTGCTGCTGCTGCTGCAGCTGCTTCCGCTGTTTCAGCCAGTGCTGCTGCAGCTGCTGCAGCATCTGCGGGTTGCGGCAGCTGCTGCTGTAGCTGGCTCGGCTGCTGCAGCTGCAGCTAGCTGCTGCTGCAAGTTGGGGCAGCAACTGCTGCTGTGGCTGCTGCTGCAGCTGCTGCTGTGGCTGCTGCTACTGCTGCAGCTGCTGCTGCAGCTGCTGCTGCAGCAAACGAACGGCCGGACAAAGGGAGACTGCTGCTGCTGTTGCAAGAGACTGTTTCTTTTGCTGCTGGGCTTGTTGCATCTCCTTCTAAGTTTATTTTCTTTTATTTGTTTTATTTTTTGTTTTATTTTTTATCTTTTCGTTTAGATTCAAACTTTAGCTGTCGATACACCCGAACTGCAGCGCAGCAGCAGCAGCAGCAGCAGCAGCAGCAGCAGCAGCAGCAGCAGCAGCTGAGGCTGCTAGAGAGACCACTGGTCCTTTTTTGTGGCACTTAAAGCATTTAAAGTTTATATTTTATTATTTAAATATCTTTTATTTTATTTTTAATTATTTGTTTTTATTTATTTCTTTTTTTATTCAATTAATCCCTTTTGCTGCTCAAGTGCATTTTGCCCATTTGGCCGTTTTGCTGCCAGCTGCTGCAGCGCCCATTTAAGTCTTTAGTTTTTTGTTTTTAATTATTTTAAAATAATTTAAATTAATTTAAATTAATTTAAATTGATCAAAATTAATTTAAATTAATTTAAATTAATCAAAATTAGTTTAATTATTTATTTATTTAAATGGTATTTGCTTCGATTGCTGATACTTCTCATTTGCTTATTAGCTGCTGCAGCTGCAGCAGCTGCTGCAGCTACGGCAGTAGCAGCAGCGACTGCAGCAGCTGCTGCAGTTGTAGCAGCAGCTGCAGCAGTAGCAGCAGCGACTGCAGCAGCTGCTGTTGTAGCAGCAGCTGCAGCAACAGCGACTGCAGCAGCTGCAGCATCAGCTGCACCAACTGCAGCAGCAGGAGGTGCTGCTGCTGCTGCTGCTGCTGCTGCAGCAGCAGATTGGAGTGTCTGTACACAGGCGCATCTACAGAGTCCTACCCGCGCCAACTTTTCAATTTTCCATCTTTTTGGCGTAAATGAAATAAATTAATAAAATAAATAAATAAATTAAATAAATAATTTAAGTATATAAATAAATGAATTAATTAATTAATTAAAAGAAAGAAAGAAAGAAATAAATAAATAAATAAATAAATAAACAGAAAATCGAAATAAAACAAAATTTGAAAATGAGCGAAATGGCGCACAAGTGCAAAAGCAAGAACGACCACCAGAAAGTGCATTATGTGAATTTTTTCGATTTTTCTTTTTTTGGAGAATTTAAATTCATTTTAAAGGCAATTTGGGCCAATTAAAGCTCGAGATTATTATTTTTGAACTAATTGGAGTTTAAAATGTCTTTTTTTCTTTTGTTTGGAAAGAAATTCGTCCAAAAGTCTACTTGCTGCCGGTTGGAACGCGTTTCCGCAAGCATTTTCGCGCAATTTTCGAAACTTTGGGGACTTTTTGGCGCGCTTTTGGTTTGTTTTTTATCTCAAATTCAAATTAAAACTATTTTTTCATTTATATTTGCATTTATTTCCTCAATTGCGCTTTTTTCCGCACTTAAAGGACCGTTTTTCGCCTATTTGCGCTGCAGCAGCGCCGCAGCAGCACCTGCAGCAACACACCCTAGCCGCTTTGCTGCAGCAAATTGAAACAAACATTTATTTCTTTTTGATTTTTCATTTTTCATTTTCTTTCATAAAGTCCTTTTAATCTAAAAAGCCTTTTTCAACTTTTGTGCATCACCATTAACCCCCGCTTCGCCCTTTCTTTCCATGCGCCTATTGTTCGCATGGCCTGCTGCAGCTGCAACAGCAGCAGCTGCTGCTGCAGCTGCAACAGCAGCAGCTGCTGCTGCAGCTGCTGCTGATGCAGCTGCTGCTGCTGCAGCTGCTGCTGCTGCAGCTACTGCTGCTGCTGCAGCAGCAGCAGCTGCTGCTGCTGCTGCTGGAGCTACTGCAGTTTGCGGAGCTGCAACAGCTGCTGCTGCTTGTGGAGCTGCAGCAGCTGCTGCAGCAGCAGCTGCAGCAGCTGCTGCTGCTTGTGGAGCTGTTACAGCTCTAGCAGCTGCAGATGATACTGCAGCTACAAGTGCTGCTGCAGCTCGCGGAGCTGCTGCAGCCGTAGTTGATACTGCTGCTGCACGTGCTGCTGCTGCAGCTGCTGCAGCTTCTGGAGCTGCTGCAGCTCCAGCTGATACTGCTGCAGCAGCATCACCAGCGGCAGCTGCTGCTGCTGCTGTCGCACAGCCAAACAGAAGCAGCAGCAAAGTCCATCCTAGCTGCAGCAGCAAAGGGGCCCCCCAACACCTCGGGGGGCCCCTTCATTAGCTAAGTAGTGCAAGCAGCAAGCATAAGACGTTATGAGCCTCGTTACTAATTGCTGCTGCTGCTGCTGCTGCTGCTGTTGCTGCTGCTGCTGCTTTAGGGTGCTTCACATGGGGCAGACTGCAGCTGCCTCAAACGATCCTCTCCAGCTCAGTGGCGTACCCTGTGCAGCAGCAGCAGCAGCAGCAGCAGTAGAAATATTCGCAGCAGCAGCAGCAGCAGAGCGCAGACGCATTGAACTGCAACACTAGTAGATGACACTGCAGCAGCAAGAGTGAGCGCTGCAGCAGCAAGCGAAAGCGCTGCAGCAGCAGCAGCAGCAGCAGGAGCTGCAGCAGCAACAGCAACGCCTGCTAACAGTGAAGCAGAGAAGCAGCACCCCTATCACAGCAGCAGCAGCAGCAGCTACAGCAAAAGCCGCGTCAGTAAAAGCAACATCAACAGCAGCAGCACCATCGGCAGCAGCAGCAGCACCATCGGCAGCAGCAGCAGCAGCATGCGCAGCAGCAGCACGTGCAGCAGCAGCACGCGCAGCAGCAGCATGCGCAGCAGCAGCAGCAGCAGGCGCAGCAGCAGCAAGTGCTGACCGATGAGGTGGGAAGCAACTTGGGTGGCGTGGAAGGAGCAGTGCTGCTGCTGCTGCTGCTGCTGCTGCTGCGGCTTCCTGAAGAAAACTCTGTCGCCCACAAGTGACCAGTGGACCCCCAGTGGTCCACTGCGTTCTTGAGCAACAGCAGCAGCAGCAGCAAACTCGAAGGAGGCCCCGCTCGGCTGCGACTCCAGCGCCTCCCGCTGCCGCCGGCGCCTGTTTTGTTCTTCGCAGAAAGCAGCAACAGCAGCAGCAGCAGCAGCAGCATCAGCAGCAGGCAGCTGCAGCACAGCAGCAACTCGGGAAACATGCAGGGAGTCGTAAGCCACTTCCAAAGTTGCTGCTGCCAGCAGCCGCACTGTCTTCGTCAGCTGCGTCAGAAACACTGCAGCAGACCGCGGCAGACACCCCTGCTGCTGCTGCTGCTGCTGCTGCTGCTGCTGCTGCATCACCGCCTCATAGTCCCCCGACATCAGCCGCTGCTCCAGCTGCATCACAGTCTGCACGTAGGGGCTCTTCCGCACCTGCGCCGCAAACCCTAATTCAGGGTTTAGGGTTTAGGGTTTGCCTGCGGCTGCGCAGCAGCAGCAGCAGCAGCAGCAGCAGCAGCACAGCAGCAGCAGCAGCAGCAGCAGCAGCAGCAGCAGCAGCAGCAGCAGCAGCAGCTCG